CAGTAAGTTCAGAGTTCAGAGAAGTTGATTTGCTCTTTGATGGATGCCTGCTCATCTGGCTGCTTCTTGTCAATTTATCTTCACTGTTAACTCCCAAACAGTTCGTTTTTTCCGGGTCCTCTTTGTCACTAAATTCTTTCGCGCTACACTTAGTTAGCTTATCTAGCTTGCTTTCAGAATGTCGATTTTCAGATCTTTCAGACCTCACTAGGGCTTCTATAATAGAGTGAACCTGTCTACTGTTTCTCACATGGTTTATGATTCCAGGATTTAGCCCATTAAGCAATCCACTTGGAGCGGCGACCTTTGCAAACCTATCTACCTGCTCTTTCTTGGCAAGCTCTATCTTTTTCTTCATCATGTCATTTTTAGTCTTCCTCACACGTGGCTTTGGCATTGCTAGTGCTGGTGCTCCATGGGAAGTGGATAGGTAACCTTTTTGTTTCATCTTATTCCAAACTCCCATCGGATCTTTTCCCTCTAATGGACCTACAGAACTCCCACACTCAGAACTGTCCCTTGATTTTGAATGCTCGTAGGTTTTGTAAGGATAGAAAGGGTCGTGGTTGATTGAACTGGAAATGTTTTCAGCATTTAGATCTAACTTAAACCCTCCTGACTTCGAAAAATCATCATTACATTCCATTTGTTCATTCCCGGATGTGGGCTGTTTCTTGCTTTCCTCTATACATCCTTGAGGATCATCATGAACGGCATTGCTGACACAACTGACATTAGTATTGAGATCAAGTTCACATGGAGCAAAGTGGACCACTGGATGCGCTGCATCACTTTCCCATCTTCCTCGCGCTACATAAAAATTTGCTTTTTCAGTTTATTTTAAGGAAAAAATATTCTCTTCAGGGTGTGTTTGATGGAAATTATTGAAAAAAAAATGTATTTTAAATAGTGACACGATGGAAAACATGTGGTTAAAAAGTAAGGAAAAATTATTGATGTGATGAAAAATATTATTTTATTGAAAAATGTGTGGTTAAAAATTAGTTTTGAAAAAATATATTTTGAAAGAATGTGTACCAAACATGGGCTTTGCCTTTTTTTCTCCCCCCTCTACAACACAATCCTCCCCACCAAAAGTACAATAAATATTTCGCCAAAAAAATTAATCAAAACATTTGAATAGTTTTAACTGAAAACCCAAAACTCATAAGCCACATATCAGACTGAAATGGTACAAATTAAGCCCAGGGAAAGTTTCTCATCTAAACAGCAAATTCAATTTTGTATCATGAATTCTCTCAATTATATAAATTACAATCAACCAAATAAAAATTGAAACTTTACATAATTTTATTTTAAGAGAAAAAAGACATACTTTCAGAAGGAAGAAAGGATTCAAGATCACGCATTTTAACTCTTCTGTAAGAAATTGCAGTCATTTCTTCATCTCCCACAATACCTCTTTTCTGCCCCACCATTGCCTAAATATCAAATCCAAGAACATCATGAATTTAAACAAAAAAAAAAAAAAAAAAAACTCCAAACAAAATAAACAAATAAAAAAACTAAACATTATTTCTTAAACCCTCACTTTTGATTCAGATCTGGACATCACCAAAGGTTGATTCTTAGACCCACATTCATGCTCAAGAAAATTGAGAAAAAAAAAAACTGTGAATTCAAATTTCAAGATTCTCAGCCTGTACCTTTAAACAAAACCCTCAAAATCCAAATTCAAAATGGACACTATAATTCCCTGATCAAGAAAAGATTCAAAAACAAAATTTGGGTCGTTGAAATACAAAAAAAATTAAGAATGTTGCTTTGGTGGATTATATGTGTACGCATAAAAGACTAACGATTCATCTATCTTGATATGGGCTGCAGAAGTTAAGGGAGGGAAAATGTTGGTGGTAGGTTTTGGATTTAAATTTGTAGATGGGGGCGCGGAGAGAAGTATTTGTTTGAGAATAATTTGGTCACATGCAAAAGTTTCCACGTTTGATGTCATTTGTTTTGTTTATGGTTTGGTCATTGGTGTTTAGGTTTTCAAATTCAAGTAAAATGAAGGATTTTGTTTAGGGACCACGTTAAGGTGCAATATTTTAATTGCAGTTAACCTCTTCGATCTTTGTTCGTAATTATTTTTTTAACTTTTCTCCATCGAATTCTTATTTTCAACTTTTCATTAATTAGTGCGGCTCGTTCTTGATGATTATTTATGTCAAAATATTTTGTTTTCATACTTTGAAATGAGAAATATATAAATTTTTGCACTTTTTTGTTTTAAACAATGTAATGGAAAATAAATTGTCTTACTTACAACTAAAATATAGTGTAAAAAATAAAAATTGTGGTGTGAATATAATTTTCCTAATACCATACTACGGGCGTGTTCGACAGAGATTAAAATCAGATTAAAATTAAAAAACTAGTCGTTATTGTTGACTTTTATTAGACGAATGAGACTCAATAACGACTATATTTTCAATTTTAATATTTTCAAAATAACATTTTGACCCGAATAATCAAGATGGTATTTTGAAATTTATCTCGACCTATCATCTAGGAGGACGACGAGATTGGATATGCAGCTTCAAATAATCAAGAATTATGCACTGTCCATTTCAACACTAATAAGATTCATGAATATTTGTACTTCATATGGTAAAGTTAGACATTGTTATTGTTATTTACGAACAAAATTTAAAAGATTAATGATCACCGTCAATCCTAACGAGTAAAGATCGTAGATCTAATTCAATCCTTGAAAACTATCTTAATTCTACCTAAAATAACGACATTGAAAGACAATCAAATTAGCCAATGTCATAGCCTATTTTAAAAGTTCAATCAATCATGCTACATGTGCACTTCATTTTAACATAAAATACAATTTCCTACCCATTTGCATTTGAAAATATATGAAGTGTCAAACTCCATGTCAACTAATTAATGTACAAGAAGCTTTATTCAACTTCAATGGCATGGCATTGACGTCATAAATTATGACTATTAACTTTTTTTTTTGGGTGAATGTCTCTCTCTTCCAATATTAAGCTAATAAAATAAGGATAAAATTATTTGTATATAATTTTTCTTACCGAAAATGTTACACCATCTCACGTGTATGCGGGCCTCGCGTGAATAAGAAACTCCAAAAAATGTGATCCTCACACCCTATTGTGAGTGTAAGTAAAAGATTAGGTAAAAAATTTATGTACATGAAGTATTATAGTTGATCGTGATTATTTTAAACCCCTGTTTGACACACATCAGTTCAAAAATATATTTTTCTTTATCTTATTTTCAACCATGCATTCTTTAATAAAATAATATTACTCGCAAATCCAATTTTTTTCTATTTTTTAACCCCACATTCTTCATTAAATCACTGTTCCAAAATGTATTTTCTGAAAAAATGGGCCTCAAATATGCTTTAAATGTCATCTTGAAAAATTAATAAACACATAATGTCTTCGATTTTGAGAGAGAGAGAGAGAGAGAGAGAGAGAGAGAGTATTAAATTTCATTAAAATCAATCCATTTTCAAATTGTTTAAAAAATACAATTATTTGGGGTTGTGTTTAAAAATAGATTTTCAAATTAGCCAATATCATCACCTGTTTTAAAAGTTAGATTTTGAATGCAGATCTATTCTACCATTAAGCCAATAATGATAAAAGTATTCTTAACTCTTTTTAGAGGAAATTGGAAAGAACGTCCAATTTTGACATTCCATTTTGAAAAATGGCAAAAAAAGTTGAAAGATTTGCATTCATGGCCAATATTTGAGAAAAAAATGGACACCCGTAAAAGTATACTGATATTACAATTGGTAATCATATTTAAACAACACTTTTTATTATCTGCACCACATTTTAATTGTAATGAAGTTCATAATTTTTACTCATTTGACACTTATGTCCCTAATTTCTTTTATGCATTTTTACAATTAAACTTCAATAAAATAAGCACATTTTCTCTCTGATTACGACTTTTGACCCAATTTGTTTCAAATTAAAATCAGATTTCAATTTAAGTCAAAGTTAAACAATCAATATTAACCACGTTTTTCCTGAATCCCACAATTTTTCAACCACATATTTCAAAATCTTCTATCACAGTCTATTAAAAATTTAATTTGAATCTCCATCAAACACCCACTAAATATTATGCTAATGTAAATTGACCTGAGAGGCAAATATTTTTTAAAATTTTGGTATTACCTATTTATTAGACTTATTTTAAAGCATACAAGAGTTGATTTTACGCTATCACCGAAGTAAAGATGTGTAAATTAATAAAAATTGACAATAAAAAAAGTTTAAACATAAATGCAAAATGAGCAATGGTTGGTTTCACATACACTAACAAGTTAGCAGGTCAAATCTTAAGTTTCCTTGGCTTCCTATCTTCTAATGCACATAATTTTTTGAGTCCATAATTTTGTATTACACTTTATGTTATATGATTTGTTCTTCAATGATCCCTGTAACAAAAGTTATGCATTGATTTCCTTTCATGCCCAGCAATTAGCACATAGTTCTCTTTTGATCATTTTATGCTCAAACTCCTTTTTGTTTTTGGTATCAATCATCTTCAAATTCAAGGTTTAACCTATAAAAGCAATTTATAAACTATATTGAGTTGAAACCCACTCAATTCATCAATATTAAGCATGTTTAAGATTCTAGATAAATGCGTCAAACACGCTTATCACCTAACTTTGAGAAATTCAAAGTTTGTACATTTTGTGAAATCCGTAAGTAAATCCCTTTTTTTTTTTAAACACACATTCTTCATCAAATTAGTGTGTTAAAATATATTTTGGTAAAAAATTGAAGTCCTCCAAAATTGGCCACATTTCAAGTCTATCACCCAAGTTTGACCACAAATCACGATTATCCATCTTTTTAAATGCATTCATGAAAAACAACGTAAACACACAGTATTTTAAAGTGAAAAAGAAGAGAGAGATTTAATAGTAACATTAAATCAAACTATATACAGATTTTTAGTAATAATTCAAAAGCATATAATGATGACGTAAAGTCATCAAGTAGCCAATGCATTTGGATAATACAGATAATCAACTACTACAGTGACACGGACAAAGGATCGTAATCTCGAGCTAACTCTAAAACATTTTAGAAAATACTTTCCATTTTCTAGAACTTTGATAATTTTTTTAAGGAGAATCTCACAAGTCACCACCCATTCGT